AGGCAGTTTTAAGCCAGAGGGCGAGGATATTTCGGTGGCAGTTTTAAGCCAGCGGGTGAGGATATTTCGGTGGCAAGTTTAAGTTCGCGGGTGAAGATATTTCGGTGGCAGTTTATTTTCGCGGGTAATGATATTTCGGTGGCAGTTTAAACCCAATGGATGAGGATGGTTCGGCTGCAGAAAGAATATTTCGGTGGCGGTTTTAAGTCAGCGGGTGAGGATATTTCGATGGCAATGTTGAGCCCGCGGGTGAAGATATTTCGGTGGCAGTCTTAAGCCAGCGGGTGAGGATATTTCGGTGGCGGTTTTAAGTCAGCGGGTGAGGATATTTGGGTGGCAGTTTAAAGCCCGCGGGTGAGGATATGTCGGTGGCAGTTTTAAGCCAGCGGGCGAGTATATTTCGGTGGCAGTTTTAAGCCAGCGGGTGAAGGATACTTCGGTGGCAGTTTTAAGCCAGCGGGTGAGGATATTTCGGTGGCAGTTTTAAGCCAGCGGGTGAGGATATTTCGGTGGCAATTTTAATTCAGCGGGTGAGGATATTGCGGTGGCAGTTTTGAGCTAGCGGGGGAGGAGGAGGAGGAGAAAGAGGAGGAGGAAGGAATCGAGAAGAGGTGTGCTCGGCGCGGGCATCCAGCCGCCACGCGATGCGTCATTCGCTTGGTTGGCCCAGCCGACGGCTACGCATCCAGCGCGTTTCTGCGCCCGTATACATGCTCGCCCCTTGGCGTGGGGCTGGCGGGGAGCCAAGGGGCGAGCTGTCCGGTGATTGATCATATGATGCTGTTTGCCGATTCGCACCTCACATGGACCGCAGTCGGGCCCGAGGGCGGTCATACATCGACGCAGGACGGAACTGGCCAGGATGGTCCCATGCAAGGGTCCGTAGAGAGGAGCTTGAGCGGTTTTTGCCGACGAAGTCGACAGCACGGCAACGACGGCAACGGCGGCGGCGACGACATTCCACGATATTGTTTTTGGTTCCCTGTGTTCCGAAGATGCTCATGAGGGCCATTGGCTTGCAACGGGGCCGTCAAAAATCAAAGTGTGATAACAATTAGCCTTAGGTCGGGCCTGTCCCGTTACACGCGGATTTGGGAATGAATAATTACACTGTTAAACCAGATTTCTTTTTACAAAGAAATGGTTAGAAATCGTCTCCAGGTTTGTTGGGCTACTCTTGTTGACAATTCCTCATATGCCCAACTTAAAAGTAACTTGCCAGGATGGACTCGGGGAGGGGCTCAGAGATGGATGTTGCCTGGTACGCGAACGACGGCTGTGGCGAAGACGACGACACCGGTGGCGGCGACAACGACGGCGACGACGAAGTCCTTCGATGTACTAAAAATGGATGTGCGGTTTTGTTCTCGATTCGAGGCTCTCTTGGGCCGTCAGACATTCGATCCAGGACGAAAAACTGGCCAGGATAGTTTTCGACAGACCCTGATATCCACAGCTTCAGTTTTCAGTCCCCGACCCCAGAAGTCTCCACCGCCTCGCTCGTGCTATTTACTTTTTCGCCCCGGATCCATTTCTGAGGGTGCGGGGGCCCGAACATGGCCCCCAAGGTCTGAAATCTAGGAAGCCCACCAGTTGTGAATGTTTTCTGATTCGGCGTTTCGACATTTGGCGGCGGAAGGGGGGGAGGGGGGGCTGGCTCCGGACCAATGCCTACTGCGACTGTTTGGATACGTGCATCCTCTGGGGAAGACTCCACTCCAACTGCTTGAAACATGCGCCATCAAAAACAGCCAAGATCTCCTCCATGGGGGGGAGGAGAGGGGTGCGAGGGCCCGCGCCGATCGGCAAAACATGCATGAGAACTCGATCACGTTGAAAAATCAGATCGCTGGGAATCGGGGGACGTCAGGTGTCCGAGTCTGGGCAGGCCTTCGGCTGTGCAACGACATCGACGGCGACAACCAAGGCGGCGGCGGCGGCAGGCCGTGTCTGACGCCGCCCTCGCTTTCAGCGTCTACGTTGAACTTAAACAGCACGACTAAAACAATTTAGGTCGTGGCAGTTCATATTAATCTGTTTCATTAAAACGCCAGATGCGTTTTGCAGCACGAATGCGACCTAAGCAGCTTAAGTCACTTTCGTGCTGCAGAATCCTCGGCGCTGGGCTGCGGGGCGCGGAAAGGGCGGCAAGGTTGCGAGAGTGGCAGGGGCCCAGAAATCCGAAGTTTTGTTCTTTGCAGTACTCGACAAGCGCGTTCCACTACCAGCGAAGCATCCACTCGCAAATGGTTTTGATCCGCCATGCGGGATTTACGATGCATTACATCCGATGCCGACAAGTGTTTTTTCGGACGTCTGCGAATAGCCACTTTGCGAGTAGTGCGGCGCGCTCGGTGAAATACGGGGCCCCTGGAAGTCCCTTCCCTTTCTGAGGGACCAGATTCTCGCCCCGAGTCGTTTCTGTGCGGCCCTGGGGCCCAGCGAGGGCCCCTGGAGGCAGAAAACTGCGACAAACCCTCGGGCTGTATTTTTCAATGCGTTAACTAACGGGTCTGGGGATGCGCCGGGGTGCGAGGGTGAGAGCAGGCGGCTGGCCGATTCGAGGGAGGGCTGCGGCAGCCCGAAGAGGGCGCGCAGTTCCGCGCACGCCGCCCGCGACCCGACCCGAAATCGCCAGCACGACGACGACGACGACGACGACGACGAATGCACCCCACCGAGGACAACGACGGCGAGGATGAAAACGAGGCCGAGCCGCTGCTGTGCTGGAGGGGCACCCCGAGCGGAGTCCGAGCAGGTGGGGCCGGCCCCCTCGCGTCGTGTGGAAAGCACGACGAGAGATGGCGTCGCTGAGTGGGGGGGCGATCGAGTCGGCCCGCATCGCTAGGATGCGCGAGATGCAAGGGCCTTGGACGGCCACTTCGAAGCTTTGCGGGCGGGGCGCGGCCAGCGGAAGCGGCCAAGGATGGACCGAGGAGGCAAGGACGCAAGGGGGGTAGTAGCCTTGGGAAGGTTGCCCATCCTCGTTACGCGGGCTGACTCCAATGGGGGGCGATAGATGGGGGGGGGAAGAGAGGAGCACTACTCGGACCCGGAAGGCCCACTCTCGTGGGCCCAAAGGGCCCCTTTCAAGGGCCCCTCTGCTGCAGCCCTCGCTGCCCCCCATTGATCGCCCCCCCACTGCGCGCCCCCTAAGGGAGATTGTTAGCAATTTTCCGGGGCCCTGCGGGGGCCCTCGCCAGGCCCCAGGACCATCAGAGAACGACTCAGGATGAGAAGCCGACCCCGAGGAATGGGTCGAGACGTCTGCGGGTCGACGTCATGAACAAAAACAAGGCTTCGGGGTTCGGAGGATCGCGCCGCATCGACATTGCATCGGCGCCGTCGGCGTGGAGAACATCGGGCTCAACACCTCGCCGCATCGCCGATGCGTCGGCGAAGCGGTGCTATCGCTCCCGTCCCGTTTACCCTGGCTCTATGTGGGAGGCCTGGGGATCTCCGATACTGAGCGTGAGCGTTAGGCGGGGGGGACCGGCTCGAGGGGGATGCATTGCCGACAGATTGGAGACAGGCCGCCGAGGACGAGTCTGGACGCTCCTGGGCGGGGCGGGGCTACTGGGCCCCAGCAGGCGATCAGTGGTCGGCTGGGCCTGTTCCCCCCCCTGACGTTGCCCCCCCGGGCTTTCGGCTCTCGGCTCGCAGCTCGCCGCTCGAGCGCCCGACCAGGACGATGCGGGCACCCCCGGAGCGCTCTCGGCGAGCCGCAGGGCCGCTGGAACGCACCCCGAGGCCCGAACACCGCCGAGAAGCGACGAGGGACTTGGACAGGGCAGCGAAAACCCACCCCCATGAGAATAATCACCCCGACAAGCCACGCCCTTTGGCAGACGCGCTCAAGGGAAGGAATCGAACAGGGCAGGGCTGTTCAGCAAACGCCCTGGGGCCGTTCCGTACACGCCAGCTGTCGGGCCCGGGTGCTTCTTCCTCCCTCGGTCTGTGAAAATCGCACAGAAAGAAAAATCGCAGGAACCAGAACCCCCCCCCCCCCGAACATGCATACCCTTTGTGGGCCCCGGAAACGGCAAGGCAATTTTTCTCCGTTTCCCCCAAAAGTGCCCCTTGAAAATGGAAACGGCAAAAAAAACGGCGACCGGAAATGGCAAACACGGACGGCAAAACCAGTTCCAAAACCGCCATGTCGTTTCCAGGGCCCATTAAGTGCCCGACTTAGGCATAGACCTGTGGCGCTCCGCGCGGATTTCTTGGCTGCGCGCGGGGCCTCCCAGGGGCGGCGCTGGAGGCGCCGCCCCTTTGCGGCGCTCCGCTCTCGCCAGGGAGGAGCCTGGCTCGGAGCCTTTTTTGTTGTTGTTGTTTCTTCTTGTGTTTGTTATATGTTCGTTTGTGTTTGTTTTCCCCCCCACACTGTGTGTGTGTTGTTGTGTGTGTTTGTTTGTTTTGTGTTGTGTTTGCTTGTTGTTGTTTTTTGTTTTGTTTTGTTTTTGTGTGTTTTTTTATTTTGAGACCCGCGCGGAGCTGCCTCGCCCCCCGCGCGGCTCCCGAGGTGCTCCGCCTCCGCGGCGCTGCCTCGCCGAGCGGCGGTTTTTCTGGCGAGGCGCACGCCCGCGGAAAGCGGGCGCGCGGCGCTCGGGGGAGCGAGCGGCCGCGCGCGGCGATCGGCCGCGCGCCCGTGGCCCGCTCCGGTCTCCCAGCACCGCTGCCATGTATGGGACGGAGGAGAAGGGAGGACGAGGAGGTCCTCCTCCTCCTCCTCCTCTCCCTCCTCTCCTCCTCTCCTCCTCTCCTCCTCCTCCTACTCCCTCCTCCTCCCTCTACTCCTCCTCCTCTCCTCTCCTCCCTCCCTCACTCCTCCTCCTCTCATCCTCATCCTCTCCTCCGTCTGCTACCTGTGCTGGCGGTGGTGGACAGAAGGACATCCATTGTTGGGCCCGCCACGGCGCGCGCAGGGGAGCCGGGCCCGCGCTCACAGGACGAACACCAAAACGGCAAATGGCTCTCGAGAGCCAGGCGTCGCGAGGTTCCTGCCCGCCCATCGCTGCTCTTCGACCGCTCCTGGGGTAGCAAGAGGTGCTGGTGCCAACTGCTCATGGGCCCCTCCCGCGGTACGTTCTCACCAGGAACTTCGCGGCGCATCCAGCGGTGGCGACGAGGGCCTCCCGGGAGGCCGAACGGCGGGACAACGGGCCGAGGGGATAACTCCCAGATGCACAGTAGAAACCACACGACCACAACCTTCCCGAGGTCCGCACGGCTTTCTTGGATCGGCGCTGGGCACCCCTCCGTGGCGCGCGCAGCGCGCCACGGGCGGCCCCCGAGGCGCCGCCTTGGTGGGGCCCAGCGCCGATCCCGGGAATCCGCGCGCAGCTCCAAGAGGTCCCGTCTACGCAGCTCTCTGCTTTCCCCGAGCTCAGGGGATGGAGGATCGCCTCGCCCTACGGTGGAGGCCAGTCCACAAGGAACCTTCCACAAGAGACCATCGGGACGTCCATTGATTCTTGGGGTGGGAACGTCGCGCTTCCCATCGCGCAACCATCGAAACCCGAGAAGCCCAGGGCACCCCGGACGCAAGCAGGATGCTTCTAGGCATGGGTCTCCACGGGCCGCCAGCGCTTGCGTTTCCACCCTGCGCGGGCAGCTTACGCGCGAGTGGCTGCGCAGTGCAGCAGGAGCCCGACCACAAGAGACCTGCCACAAGAAGCCCAACCCTGGAACCCCAGGGCGTCCCCTGATTCTTGGTGTGGGAACGTCACGCTTCCCATCGCAAAAACATCGACCCCCCCAAAAAAACATTGGACCATGGAGGCAAGCAAGGTGTTTCTTGGCGTGGGCCCCCACCGTAGAGCCACTTTGTCTTGCGTCGCTCATGTGAGCCCTGTACAAACGAAGCCAGGAACGCGACACCATCGGATCGGGAGAAGTCGGGGATCTCTGAGGTCCCGGTTTTCTGAAAGATGCATCGAGCGCCGCGGCTGTTCCCAAGCGTGCCAAGAGTCAACAGAAAATCGGAAAAAAACAACAAATAATCGAAAAGTCGCCCACAGACTATGTTTAAAACTATGTTTGATACGCCTGTAGAGGGACACGCCCGACTTAACCCGAGGCGTGACTGACTCTAGTCCTGCAAGGCAGATCCGCCGGCCCCCGCGTGGGGGAACCAGGCTGAATGGGTTAGGCCTGCTGCTCCCTGCGAAGTTCCAGTGTCAAGTTTCCAGTGTAGTGGTTCTACTTTCTCGGCGGCGAGCGAGGGGGGGGGAAGCGAGAAGGAGAAGGCCTTCGCAAAGGCGGCGGGACTTCTCAGAAGCCATCTCGACTTCTGAGAAGTTTTCTGTGTCTTCGGGGAAGGCTTAGAAATCTTATCAGAAGGCCGGCCGGGGGGCTTCAGAGCCTTCTGAGAAGGCCCGCCCCTTCTGACTTCCCCCCCTCGCTCGCCGCCGGCTTTCTGCTTCCTACTGCACATTGTGACTGTCCACGCAAGGTGGGGCAGCCCCAAACCAACACTTGCCAGGCCCTCCCGGGGGGTCTCAGAATTCCTGGATGGGGTCGTGAGACATGTGAACATGCATGCGATTCGCGCCCCAGAGAGGCAATACACTCTCGTAAATTAAGCGATGTTCGCGTGCACGAGGCCATAGCCCCGAATAGATCAATTATACAAGATTTTGTCCGCCAAGCTCTTTTCCTTCGTAAATAACATTGTGATTGCGTCCCCGAGGCCATTAACCCTCCGTAAAGTATGCAATGCTCGCGTCCCCGAGCCATAAGTCTCGTAGATTACACAGATTCGCGCCAATATCGTAAGCCTTCGGAAATCCAATAAAATCTGCGTCATCAAAGGCACGACCTCGTAAATTACGCAAGGGTCGCGAATTCGAGGTCACGGCCTCAATGAACTTACAATGTTCGCGTCCCCGAGGCGACGATCCCCTGTAAATGGCTCAATGTTCGCCCCCGAAGCCATGTCCCCTTGCAAATTCAGCCCAATTCGCGCCCTCGAAGTCGAAGCCAAAATCAATCGCAAGTTACTCCGCATTCGCGTGGCCGAAACCATAATCCATGGTGAATTCCGCAATCGTCGCGTCCCCGAGGCCACGACCCACCGTACATGGTGCGGTATGTGCATCCTCGACGCTATGGGCCCTTGCAAAGTGGGCAATGCTTGCGTCCCCTAGGCCAAGGTCCCTCGTAAATTCTATAAGATTCGCGTCCACGAGGCGATGATCCCTCATAACATACGCCATGTTTGCGTCCTCGAAGGCATCATCCTTCGTGAACTACATAATGTTTGTGTCCTCGAGGACAGACACCTTTGTAAGTGACGCCATAGTTGCGTCACCGGGGCCACGGTCCACCGTGATTTACGCAATGCTCGCGTTCTCGAAAGGATCAGCAACAGTAACAGCAGCCGCATCAGCAGCAGCAGCAGCAGTAGCAGCAGCATCGTCATCGTCATCGTCATCGTCATCGCCATCGCCATCGCCATCGTCGTCATAATAATGATACTAACACCAATAATACAACGAATATGCCTCCTCCTCCTTCTCCTCGTTCTGTTCCTCCTCCTCCTCATCATCATAAGCAGCAGCACCATCGTTAACACCAGCGCCTACAACAGCATCATGAGCAACATCACCATCACCATGACAATCGGCGTCAACATCAGCATCATCAACATCATCATCGGCGTCAGCATCAGAATGTCCTCAAGACGGCGCCAACATATCCTGATATGGCTCTGATGTATCCCGTTGTGATAGAAAAAAAAGCCGGCGGCAGGGGGGAAAACCCTTACGGATATCTCTGAAAATCTGGCCGGGGCTCAGGATCTGATAAAGGTTGCCTGCAGCCAGGTGATCCCCAAAGGGGCTGACCCATGCCCGAGCGTCGGCTGGACCCGCAGGGGCCTGGCGACCCGCAAAAGTGACCCTGGAGAAAAGGAACCTTTGGTGCGCGGCTTCCAGGGGGGCACAGGGGGGCAAAACCCAGGCGTTCAATGCGCTGCTATCGTACCGCATCCGGCGATCGGGGGACCCGACTGAGCCCGCACCACAGGTCTCCCCGGCGAAGGGTCTCTATTGCGTGTGCTCGAGGGGCAGGGTCCAGACAGCCTCCGATCTGAGCTTCGGATGCGCGGCCCTAATGGTCTCAACATTTTCCCCAGGGACAACGTCCCACGCCCCCGGATCTGAGCTTCGGATGCGCGGCCCTAGTGGTCTCATCAACCCCCCAAGGGACGGCGTTCCCCCCCCACCTGGATCTGAGCTTCGGATGCGCAGCCCTAATGGTCTCATCACTTCTCCCAGGGGACAACGTTCCCCCCCCCGGATCTGAGCTTCGGATGCGCGGCCCTAATGGTCTCATCATCTTCCCAAGGGACAACGTTTCCCCTCCCCGATCTGAGCTTCGGATGCGCGGCCCTAATGGTCTCATCATCTCCCCCAGGGGACAACGTTCCCCCCCCCCCGATCTGAGCTTCGGATGCGCGGCCCTAATGGCCTTATCACCTCCCCCAGGGGGCAACGTTCCCCCCCCAGGATCTGAGCTTCGGATGCGCGGCCCTAATGGTCTCATCATCTCCCCAAGGGACAACGTTCCCCCCCCCGGATCTGAGCTTCGGATGCGCGGCCCTAGTGGTCTCATCATCTTCCCCAGGGACAACGTTCTCATGCAATGGTCTCCATCTCCCCAGGGGACAACGTTCTGAGTTCGGATGCGCGGCCCTAATGGTTCATCGGACGTCCCCCCCCGGATCTGAGCTTCGGATGCGCGGCCCTAATGGTCTCATCATCTCCCCAGGGGACAACGTTCCCCCCCCCCCCGGATCTGAGCTTCGGATGCGCGGCCCTAATGGTCTCATCACTTCCCCCAGGGGACAACATTCGGGAGCGGCCAACAGGGGGATGTCCAAGAGGGGGGGTGCAAATCATGACCGGCGGCATGTGCGCGGCCCAGCGGGGGGGCCAGGGACGTAATGAAATAAGAAGACGCGCCATAAAATCTTGGGAAATATCATGACCCCCGCCATGATATCCACCTCCCCTAGTCATCACCCCCCTCTTTGCCGCCACCGATACGTTCCCCCCCCCGGATCCCATTTCGATGTCCCGGGACTCGGCAACGGACCCGGGAGGCCCAGGCTGGCGAAGGAGACGCCAGTTGACAAGAGTCCGCAGACCTGGGCCAGGTCAGCGCGCGCGCCTCGCCCTCTCGCCAGCGCCGTGCCCCCCAGGAGTGGGAGGGGGAGGGGGAGGAGGAGGAGGAGGAGGAGGAGGAGGAGGAGGAGGAGGAGGAGGAGGAGGAGCAGGAGTAGGAGGAGGAGGAGGTGGAGGAGGAGAGGACGAGGAGGAGGAGGAGGAGGAGCAGGAGCAGGAGCAGGAGGAGGAGGAGGAGGAGGAGCAGGAGTAGGAGGAGGAGCAGGAGGAGTAGGAGGAGGAGGAGGAGAAGGAGGAGGAGGAGGAGGAGGAGGAGGAGGAGGAAGGGGAGCAGGAAGAGGAGGAGGAGGAGGACGGAGGGAGGACGGAGGGAGGAAAACGAGTGTCGTGGACCTGGGGGAGCAGGGCTCGCACTTGGTCGCCGATCCTCCGCCTCCGGCAGGGACGTCGGCGGCGCGCCGTCGTCGACGGCAACTGCTCAGCGGTCCAGCGGGGGGCCGTAGGCGTGCGCGCGCCCGTCGCTCAGGAGCTGGACGAGCTCTTCCCTCGCCTTCTGGCGGAGCAACGGTAGTGTTGGGCATCTCAGGGGAAGATTGACCCGGCATCGGGGGTACGTCGCCGGCAAGCCGTCGGCGATGGGCCCCCGAGAGCAGATCCGCGCGGTTCCTGGGCGGGGCGGGTCTGTCGGGGCCCTCGCTGGCGAGGAATGGGCGGTTGGGGGTCGGTGACTCCCCGTCTGAGCCTCTCCCCCCCCGCCTACCGTCGCCCCCGAACATTACGGCGGAGAAGCACCCGCAGAAGCAGACTCGAGGCCTGAAGCCCCAGACAGATTCGAGGAGGAGGAGGAGGAGGAGGAGGAGGAGGAGGAGGAGGAGGAGGAGGAGGAGGAGGAGGAAGGGGGGAAGGAGGAGGAGAAGGAGGAGGAGGAGGAGGAGGGGAGGAGGAGGAGGAGGAGGAGGAGGAGGAGGACCAGGAAGTGGAGGAGGAGGAGGAGGAAGTGGAGGAGGAGGGGGAGGAGGAGGAGGAGGAGGGCCCCTCTGAGGGCAGCGAGGACCAGAGCGCGGCCGTGGAAGCTCCGGGTGCTCCCTGGGTCCCCGGGGGCCGCCCACCACGGGCAGGGAGCGGGGCGCCTCTCCGCGGGCGAGGGGCGGCCCGCGGAGGGGCCCTCCCTCCGCGGAGGCATGCGAGGAGCGGGGGCTACAGTCGGGGCCTTGACCCAAGGAGCCCAACATAAGGAACGAGGCCCCTTTTTGTTCCATAAGTTTCGGGGAGACGTAAGACCCGGGTACGGGGGACTCGGGTTGGCCCGACGAGGTCGTCAAAAAAATGACGAGGCCGAGCCTGCATTTTGACGAGGCCTCCCGCTGCAGACATCCCACGAAACTCCTCCTCGTCAAAATCCGAGGCGCGGTCGTCAAAAAACGATGGCGAACCCGAGTCCTGGCAAACCCGGGTCTTACGCTCCCCCCAAAGTTAAGTTTCGATTTCCGATCGGGCACATGAGGAAAGCCCGAGGCAAGCTGTGAAACACTTAGGGGACGCGGAGCCCCTCCCCAACGAAAAAGGTTCCTTCTTCAGGGCCCCGACTGGAATCTCCTCTGAGAAACCTGCCGCCTCCTGCAAGAAACGCCCCCCTCACCTGTGTCCCCTCTTGTGCGCCACAAGAAGACTCTCAGATCGCAGCGCTGGGGGGCGCCCGGCGCGGTCGAAGCGGCAAACCCGGCAACGGGATCGCGAATTGGGAACGGGCTGCCAGAGCAAAGAGGGGAAAGGCCACCAAGGACAGGCAGAAGGCCACGTACAAAACTTGCACGCACGCCAGCTACGCGCACGTATCCACGGTCATTTGCGCGTGGTCCACATGAGTGAAGCATCGTGAACCAGAATGTGCTTTGTAAGATGGGCCCGGCAAAGTGGCCTCAAACAGTGGACTAATGCACCGACTGGGAAACAGCAGAGGCAACTGGAGCATACCTGCATAATCAAAACGCAACATACAGCCAGGAACAGCAGCGGATCGACCAGATCCAGACAATCCTCTAGGAGTATGCGAGTTCGCATGCCCGAGCGTCCACATGGATACATGTTTCCCCAAAGTAGAAGTGAAACAATGTGAAAGGGATGCAACAGGGGAGTACCAAAACTACAGCACACAGGCATGGCGGACTGGAAAGGTTTAGGCACTGGGGTATCCGACAAGTTCCATCCCCCTGAGTTCGGGCGGCTTAAGACACGTTCGTGCCTCTTGCTCCTGTAGCTTGAGGTCGTGCCAGCCGGCCATGTCGAAAGTGGGGCCCATGCCAGCAACGCCCCAATGGATGGCGTCGGCCATCTCGAAAGCCAGTTGGGCCACGTACCAGCAGAAAAGAGCCGCAGCCATCTGGAAGAAGACGTACAACCACCAAACGTTGAGTTGCGTCAGCCTGTTAACAATTTCTACGGGGTACACCTCTGAATAGACGACAACTTCGTACTTTATTCCATTCTGAACCGGCCACTGCGGTACGGGCCACATGAGGGCATCGTTCACCACGTTGAAGGGATACTCGCCACAAGTCGCTGTGTACACGCCTCCGAAGGGGGAAAAACATTCCATGCATTTGAAATCAACTGCTCCCCGTTGATCATTCGTGAGGGTATCGTAGGTTTTTCTGTCCCCCAACACACCCTCTCCCATGGGCCACCCCGAACGCTAAAATTGGTACCTTTTCTGTGCCGCATCGTGCCGTCGTAAGACACAATGATAACCAACAGCACTGCCACTGCGACCAGGAAGCCACCGAACCCGCGCAGCTCCCCGGGGTGGCTGTACGCAGCGCCCAACGCGCCTACAGCGCCAAATGCCGCGCTGCCCAAGGTCAGGCAGACCTTTTCCGGCGGAACTGCTAGCCGCGCACCTGGCCTCAGGTCGGGCCTGTCCCCCTACAGGGGGAGTTTGGGCGAAATCTCAATCTGACTTACAAAATACTCGCCAAAAGCTCAAAAATCTGCTATCTGGCGTGCGAGTTTGAAAAAGCCTCAGCTACAGCCTACAGCCTACAGCCTGAGCTTCAGCTCTGCTGGGAGGGGGCCGGGGTGGCTCTGCTGGGGAAGCGGGGGAGGGGGGGGGGACGAGTTGTGCTCCGCTTTCCAGGGGGGCTCCTAGGGCTTGTCGCGGCTACCCGCGTGTCTCTGGGGAGGGCATTTTTCAACACTCCTCACGAGGATCGTGGCCTCCGCGAGGGTCCCGAACTCGAGTACCCCCCCGCCCCTCCCGCCCAAGAAGCTCCCAAGAGGCCCCCAAGAGGCCCCCAAGAGGCCCCAAGAAGCTCCCAAGAGGCCCCCAAAAAGCTCCAAGAGGCCCCAACGAGGCCCCCAAGAGGCTCCCAAGTGGCCCCAAGAAGCACCGCAACTGCCCAAGAGGCCCGGGGGGACCTCAAAACTGCCTCCCAGAGGCCCGGAAGAGGCCAACCAGGAGATCCCAGCCAACATCCATGAGGCCTCTGACCCAACACCCCGGCACGGTGGCAGGATAGGCCGAAGGCCACTAGATCCGCCGCCCCCTGCTTGCAGGGGTGCACGGCGTGCTGGATGATTCAGGTTTTGGTTTTGGTTCTTTTTCTAAAAGAACTCCCCAGTGGGCTTCGGCCCGTCCCGCCGGCCACCCGCGCGTTTCCCAAAATGCGTCTGTCAATGCCCAAAAACGGCCGTTTCGCTCGGGACATCCTCAAAAAATCGCGAAGATGGCCCAAGATGGCCTCCAAGTCCGCCCGAGATGGTCCAAGACGGCCTCCAAAACGGCCCAAGAGAGTCCAAGACGGCCCAAGACGGCCCAAGAGGCCCCCCAGAGGCCTCCCAGACGGCCCAAGAGGCCTCCAAGAGGTCCTCCAGGAGAGTCCGAAGAGGCCAAAATCATTGATTTTCCCTTGGTTTTTGAAGGATTTTGGCATTTGCGCCTTTTCGGCTCTCCGACGGCTCAAGACGGCCCAAGAAGCCCCCAAGATCGCCCAAGAGGCCCCCAAGAGAGCCCCATGATGGCCCAAGTGGCCTCCAAGATGGCCCCTAGAGGGCCCCAAGAGGGCCCAAGAGGCCTCCAACACGCCCAAGATGGCCTCCCAGACGCCCAAGATGGCCTCCAAGACGGCCCTGGAGCATTCCAAGCGGGCCCCAAGTCGGCCCATAGAGGCCCCCCAAACGGCTTCCGACGGCTTCAGACGTGCCAGGAACCCACCAAGATGGCCGAAGTTGGCTCGAAGCTGGCCCGAGACGGCCCAAAAAGCCCCAAAGATCGCCCAAAGCTTGCCCAAGAGGCCTCCAAGACGGCCAAGATGACCTTCAAGATGCCCACGTGTTCCCCGAAGGCTTTCCAAACCGATTCGGGGAACACGTGGTCCGATAGCTTGGCAGGTCTGGCCTCAACGTTCGGCCACATAGGCGCTTCCAAAAAGGCAGGGGGCGGCGGTGATTCGCCGTAGGCGTCTTCGATCCGCCGCCTCCTTTTGATTTATCAAAGGGGTGCCTGGCGTGCCGGATGATATGGCTTTTGGTTCTGGTTCTTTTTCCAAAAGAACTCCCCCTGGGGCTTCGGCCCGTCCCGCCGGCCACCCTGAAATAATCTCAAAACGCGTCCGTCGTGCCTCTGTTCCCTCCAGTTGGCCCAAGATGGCGTCCAAGACGGCCAAGATGGCCCAGGATGGTCTCCAAGACGTCCAAGACGGCCAAGACGTCCAAGACGGCCAAGATGGCCCCAAGGTGTCTCCAACACGGCCCAAGATGCACCCAAGACGGCCCAAGATGGCCTCAAGCTGGCCCAAGACGGCCCAAGAGATCTCAATTCGGCCCAAGAGGTCTCCAAGAGGTCCTCCAGGAGGGCCCAAAGAGGCCAAAATCAATGGTTGTTCTTTGGTTTTTGCAAGATTTTGGCATTTGCTTCTTTTCAGCCTTCCGACGGCTCAAGACGGCCCGGCCCAAGAGGCCCCCAAGATCGCCCCAAGATTGCCCACGAGGACTCCAAGAGGGCCCCATGACGGCCCAAGAGGCCCCCAAGACGACCCCAAGAGGCCCCAAGACGGGCCAAGAGGCCTCCAAGACGCCCAAGATGGCCTCCAAGACGGCACCGAAGCGCCCCACGAGGGCCCCAAGTCGGCTCAGAGAGGCCTCCAAGACGGCTCCAGACGGCGTCGGACGGGCCAGGAACCCACCAAGATGGCCGGAGTTGGCTCGAAGCTGGCCCAAGACGGCCCAAGAGGCCTCCAAGAGGGCCTCCAGGAAGGCCACAAAAGGCTAAAAATACTGATTTCCTGAGGCTTGCTTGCAGGATTTTGACACTTGCTTCTTTTCAGCCTTCCGACGGCCCGATCGCCCAAAGACTGCCCACGAGGCCTACAAGAGGGCCCCAGAACGGCCCAAGAGGCCCCCAAGACTGCCCCAAAACGGCCCCCAGGGCCCCAAGTCGGCCCAGAGAGGCCCCCCAAACGGCTTCCGACGGCGTCAGACGGGCCAGGAGCCCACCAAGATGGCCGAAGTTGGCTCGAAGCTGGTCCAAGACGGCCCAAGAGGCCTCCAAGAGGGCCTCCAGGAAGGCCACAAGAGGCCAAAAACATTTTACTTTTTGTTCGGCCTTCCGACGGCCCGAGACGGCCCAAGCGCCCCCAAAGATCGCCGAAGAGGCCCAAGACGGCCCAAGAGGTCTCCAAGACGCTCAATATGGCCTCTAAGGCGGCCCAAGAGCCCTCCAAGACGTCCTCAAAGAATGCCCGAAAGGGTCAAAATGGCTTCCAGACGGCCAAGATGACCTTCAAGATGCCCCCGTGTTCCCCGAAGGCTTTCCAAACCCATTCGGGGAACACATGGTCCGATAGTGAGGCAGGACATAGGCGCTTCCAAAAAGGCAGGGGGCGGCGGTGATTCGCCGTAGGCGTCTTCGATAAATGCAGAGTGAGAATGGGAGGGAGGAACAAAAAAGAGGAGGGACGAGGGCGAAGCAGGATCACATCAGTCGGAACATCCCGGATCGGCGGCACTGGCCGGAGGCCACTACAGTAATAAAATAATCGTTCCCATATCATTGTTTGACTATTTCTTATATCCTTCCTGTAGATGGACAGGCCCGACTTCACCCTGGCCACGCACGCGGTCAAAACCAGCCAAAGGAGGACAGGGCACCCATGGACCAGAGGGAACAGTAAAACATGTACAGCATGCCCAGACCAGAGGGACGCAAGGGCTCCTCTCTTCAGAAGATCACCCCCCACGCCGGTTCCGGCTGCATTGGATGTCCCGAAATCTCTGCGAAGTTACATGGCATGCTTCGGCGTGCTGCAGGATGAAGGAAGCTGAAACTGGCCAAACCTGTTTGGAACTACTGGTCTGACATGGCTGCCAACCAGCATTACGTTGGATGGCCTGGGATGTCCGAAAGGTGGCATGAATATCCTGTTGCTCTGGACCCCCGGCCAGCCAAAACTCAACACCTGGCCGCCATCCCCGCCGCCGCAGCGACATCACATCCAGAACCCGTCTTCGTAGCCCCTGCACTCCCTAATTGGCATGAGGGGAATCTTGAAAGATACGGCCCCAAGAGTAAGTCGGGCGTGTCCCCCTACAGGGGGATTTTTTTGACGAAACATAAAAAGAACCCCAGTGCGACCCTATCTAGGAGTCGGAGCCTCTAGGAAAGCAACATTAGCAGCAGCAATAGTGGATGCTGTGCTATGCTATGCTATGCCATGCTATGCTATGTTATGCTATGCTGCGCAATGCTATGCTGGGCTAGGCTAGGGTAGGCTATGCTATGATTTGCTATGCAATGCTATGCAACGCTATGCTATGCTATGCTCTGATATGCTTGGCTATGCTATGCTATGCTATGATGTGCGAATGCTGCGCTGCTCTATGCTGCGCTGCGCTAAGCTGCGCAAAGCTATGCTAAACTAAGCTAAGCTAAGATAGGCTAGGCTAAGCTAAGCTAATCTAAGCTAAACTAAGCCCAGCTAAGCTAAGCTAAGCTAAGCTAAGATGAGATAGGCTAAGCTAAGCTAAGCTAAGCCAAGCCAAGCTAGGCTAGGCACAACTAAGCTACACTAAGCTAAGCTAAGATGAGATAAGCTAAGCTAAGCTAAACTAAGCTTAGCTTAGCTAAGCTAAGCCGGGTGAACCCAGGGGGCGCAACTGGGGGAACCGCGGGGCGGATCCCGGGGGAACCGCCCGGGGTGGGGAGCACTGCCCGGCCCTTTAAGCATACAGGGTAAGAACCCTTCTAGGCAGAGCCTAGGTAAGGAAGTATGCAAAAAATGCTCCACAATGGTTAAAAATATACTCACAAATTAATCCCCCTGACTATGTTTCACTATTTTTGAATCTTCCCCCTGTAGAGGGACAGGCCCGACTTACAGATACGGCCCCAAGACCCCGGGGCGTCCTCCTATTTTGACGGTGGGGGGGGCGGCGCAGAATCTCAAGGACCCGTCTCCGAATGACGACCGCAACAGGCCGCGGCCAACAGACCACCGAAGAGCCTTGCGCCACATGTAGGAGCTGCGGCGCATGCCGGCGCAGGTGAGGAACTGGAGGCACCTGTGCCCAGAGCAGGCGTGGTGCGGCGTGAGCGGCTGGTCTCCGAGAATGCCCCGGAAGAGGATCCAATAGATGGCGTCAACGACCTCACGCAACGAGATTCCACGCCGTGAAGGAATCGCAGCGTCACGAAACGTCACGATCAGACATCCCGGCCCAATCATCTGCGGAGCTCCTCGAGGCGGCCCGATCTGTGGGGAGACCAGGGTCCGAAGCGAGGCGGGGACACTCGACGCCGCGTTTTGCTCGCGGCGCTCTGGAGAAGTCTCCGACCACCCCGTTCCCGGGCCTTCTCTGCGCCTCGTCTTCTTCGGTGGCCTGGCCAGTGTCGGAGACGAGCATCGGAATTCCAGAGCGCACACCTGTAGTGTTTTGTTACGCTGTCTTAGGTCGGGCCTGTCCTCCTACAGGCAGATTTGGACGAAAAATAAACCATGCTCAAGCAGTGGTAACAACAGTCACGAATAGTCAAACAATCGTCCCCTGACTATTTGTTGCCTATTTTTTAACACTCCTCGTGTAGAGGGACATGCCCGACTCTGTTTTCGTGGCGAATGACGTAATTCTGGAGGGTGGCGACTAGAAATCCTGCGTGCTCCTGGTCCAAGGGGGCTAACGGCATGGGGGGGAAGAGGGGGAGAGGGAAGAGGAGGGAGGGGAGGGAGGGTGAACGACTCCACCTCCTCCTCCTCCACCTCCTCCTCCTCCTCCTGCTCCTCCTCCTCCTCCTCCTGTTGCCCTCAAGGCTCAAAATTGACAACTGATGCGCGTTCTGGCCAAGATTCCAAGGCGGGTCCAATCGTGCCTACCATCCCCCTCCCGACATCGAGGCAAGCGTCCGACACTAGAGGCCTCCCAAATGTGATTAACAACAAAAGGACCCCTAATCCGTTGGGAGGGGACCTAAGTTAGGAGGGCCACACACATTAAGGATAGGGGCTCTTTTTTCTGCAGATGTGTCGAACCAAACCGCCTAGGTCTAGAAGCCCTGATGCAAAGGCAGAGACCTCAGTGAGGCCACGTCGTCACTGTGTGATTTGGGCTTAGGCTGTTTTAATTCTCGATGGAGATGGGGTCGGAGCAAAAGGCCGCTCGGAGGCTCGCGCCGCACCGCCGATGAACCGCCGAGGCATCGGCAACTGGCGACGTCGGCGATGTATCGGAGGTTCCAGATGCTCGAGATGCTGCACCAAGACGCGGTGCTCGTCGCACGAAAGACCGGTGTATCGGCGCCGCTGCTCGTGCCGGCGTGGCGCTGGTGTCGCGCTGTAGTCAGCGCTGGTCAAGGCGCTGCAGTCGCAGCGGAGGCAAGGATGCAAGGGTACCCTTGGGAAGGTTGCCCATCCTTACTGTGCGGGTTAACTGTGCATGATGTGTTCGCGCCAGTCAGTTAGGGGAGAGAGCATCGGGCTCACCATGGAGCGGCATCGCCGATCGGTCCTCTGACCCCATCTCAGAGGCCACGCTAACGGCGATGTTGCTTAACGATGTTGTCGGGAACCCACTTGTAGGAGATCAAGAACCACACTTTCCTGCATTACAGGTGCGCGAACGTATCGAACGAAAACTACACAGCGAATTGAAGGAAATCACGAACCGCGCGTTCCCACAACACCTAAGCCTACATCGCCGTTTTCCTGCATCCATCGCCATTAGCGTGTCCACGGCATCTATAGTCGGATATCACCTTGGAGGCCACAAGACGCAGCAGCCACCGCCTAGCCCCCAACCGCGGGGGGCGGAGGCGTCAGCTGGGCCCAATATGTATATATATATATATACATATATATGTATATATAAAAATACACCGAACAACATTTAAACATAGTAGAGAAACATCGTCCCCAAATCATTTGTTGACTATGTTATGTTATTTTCCTTCTGTGGAGGGACATGCCCGACTTAACTCTATAGTCGGAAACCACCTGGGAGGCCCCAAGATATAGCATTCACCGCCTGGCCCCCCAAACCACGGGGGAGCAGCCGTCTGTCTGCTAGGGCTGCGGCGCCGTAGGCGCAAAACGCCAGAGCCAGGAGCAGCAGGAACCGGCGCCGCGGGATGCAGCAGCAGGCGCTGCCCAGGAACGCATCGCTGGTCATCGGCCTACAGCCTGCTCAGTTACAGTAGGGGCTCGACCACAAGAAACATTCCACATGAAACCAAACCCTGAGACCCCAGCACGTCCATTGATTTCTGGTATGGGAACGTCACGCTTTCCATCTCAAAACCATTGGAACCAAAGAAAACCAGGGCACCCTGGAGGCAAGCAGGGCGTTTAGGTCTCCACTGTAGAGGCCTCCTAGATGGGATCCGAGTAGATGGGGTCGAAGAATCGCCCTACATCGCAAATGCATCGGCGACGTCGGCGCGGGGAAACACGGGCTCCACATTGAGCCGCATCGTCGATGCATCGGCGAGGCGGCGCGATCCTCTGACCCCCTCTACTCCGACCCCATCTGAGCGGCCTAGACTACAGCCTGCTCAGTGCCCGCGCGCCATCATGTGAGGCCTGGGCAGAGATCACCCCACAGCACCGGGCCTGGTGCTGGCGGTCAAGGACCCAGACCCCTCGCGCCGTGAAGGAAATAAGTCGAACACTGCTTTGCTTTGGTCGGCCCCTGGGGGCCCTCGCCGGGACTCGTGATGAAAAAACGGTACCGGGAAATGGGTCTGGATGCGGACAGGCCTTGCACGCATGCCCAGCGCGCGCCATATCCAGACGCTTTCGCCTCGGTCCCCAGACCGCGAGGGCGTGGGTACGGGTACGTTCGTTCGTCGCTCGTGGGGAAGCTGTTGGGTGGACATATGGATATGGTCCGAGTACCCCAGTCTTCCCGCCCATGCTGGGTCCCCCCAGTCCCCTGTGGCCTCTTGGCGTCGGTGGCGTCTGGAGGTCTGGAGGGGACGACGACAAAGCAGACGAGGCAGCCGCACGCAGCAGCGGATCCACGGATCTACAGACCAATCTGGGAGGCGAGGGCTGAGGACTGGGTGGCGGACCTTTGAAATTAGAAGAAGGAAAAAAACGCCCCAGACATAAACTCTTGGCGCTCCGCGCATATTCCTTGGATCTGTGCTGGACCACCCTCCCTGGTGCGCTCCGCGCGCCAGGGGCGGCGCCAGAGGCGCCGCCAGAGGGTGTCGAGGGCAGAGCCAAGAACTCCGCAGAGCCAGTTTATGTCTATGGCGATTTTTCGTGTTCGAGAAGTGTTATGTTCTTGCAGTCTTTGGCCATTCTACTCCAGCAAATTTCTGCTGTGCCGCCGGACGCCCGTCGGCGGCGCGCACAAGGGGGCGCCGCGAGACGGAGGGAGGGGGCTACTAGGACTCTCAGCAGGGCAAGGGCTTCTTGGCAGGCAGGGCCCTGCTCACAAGCGTCCAGAGGCCTCTTAGATCGTAGAAAGGAGGCTCCTCAGAGGCACAGGGGAAATTTCCATCAAGCCTGTTCCTGCCCTTCCCGAGGCCGCCCAGCTGGGATCCCAGTAGATTGGATAGCAGAATAACGCCGCATCGCCGATGCATCGCGCATTCATCGCCGATGCACAGCATATGTATCGCCGATGCATCGCCGATGCATTGGCGACATAGAAGATCGGACTCCACATGGCGCCGCATCGGTGATGCATCGGCGATGCGGCGGTATCCTGCGACCCCATCCACTCGGACCCCATCTGGGAGGCCTGGACCTGTAGACTCTGACCCCCCCCCGCCGTCTGAGAAACCCCCTTTCGGTGGCAACTCATGGGAGCTTCCCGTAGCATCTTGACGGCTCTTGCGAATCGACGCTAATCGACGCTAGATCGACGCCGATCGACACTACATCGACGCTAATCGACGCTGGCCGACACTACATCGGCGCTATCTCATCGACTCCCAGATGCTAGGTGATGGAAGCTACAGGCGGAATGAAGAGGTATACCAAGCTCCCATGATTTGCTACGTCAGGTTCGTGTCGTGCCGACTTCGGCGTTGGTTTCTGTCACCACGGGGATCGTTCAACCTTGAACGATCGGCCGTCCCAGCAACGTCCAAATCGTTCCGCATCGAATGATTCTGGGTCGCCCGCGGCGTTCCACGTTGAACGCCGCTGGAAGGGTCGCCGCCGGTCGACACGACACGAACCCACCGTACCGAACACCCTGTGGGAAAAAACACACTGTGGGAAAAAAAACACAGTGGGAAAAAACACACACAGTGTGTGTGTGTGTGTTTTGTGTGTGTGTGTGTGTGTCTGTGTGTGTCTGTGTTTGTCTGTGTGTGTGTTTGTTTTCCCACAGTGTGTGTTTTTCCCACGTGTTTTTTTTGCGTTTTTTTCCCGCAGTGTGTTTTTTTGTTCCCACAGTCTGTGTTTTCTCTCGCGCCGCCCCCCTCGCACGCGGCTCGGGGTTTGGGGGGGCCGTGCCCAAGCTGCCCCACATCTGCTGCGTTGTGCGGGAGGCACGGCGGCGGCGCACGGGCCGGCCGCCGTCGCCTCGAGCCAGACGCGGTCGGCAGGGCGCAGCGGGCGTCCTCGTCCTCCTCCTCCTCCTCCTCCTCGCCCGTGCCCTCTACAGTAGGAGCTCGACCGTAAGAAACCTTCACAAGAAACCCAATCCTGAGACACCAGGTCGTCCATTCTATTTTGGTGTGGGGGCGCTACGTTTCCACAAGGAGACGATCGAAACCCAAGGGACCCAAGGCACCCAGGAGTCAAGCAGGGTTTCTTGGCATGGGTGTCCACTGTATGCCAATGTAGGGCCTGACTCGCCCACTTGCCACAGCAAGAGCAAGCCCAGCGGCAAGGTCCCGAGCCAGAGGCCCGAGATCTCCAAATCTGGCCGCCGACAGGCCTTCGAAGCGATCTTGAACTGGGCCCGCGGTTCAGGGGGAAGGGAGGCCCCAAAACACTCCCGACTGGGGCTCTCTCTCCGTTCTGAGTGGATTCTCCAGAACGACCCTGGCCAAACGTGCTGTCGACGTCGGCCTACGTGACAAAAGCGGGCAAAACTGACCCAGCACATGGGTGTGCCTCCTCTCGTGCGCCCCGCATGTGCGGCAGAAGACCGGTGACCACCCTCGCCCCATCCCCCTCACAGGCTTCCGCCCGACGCGCATCCCCTCCCAACCCCCCCGAATCGCCCGCAGCCTGTGGGAGTGATGGGACGACGCCGCCACCTTGGGAATGCCTGGACAAGGGATGCCACCCCCAACTCCCAACTCCTCCCAAGACGCGTGACAGAGAGGCCCTCTCGGCGAACTCCCCAACATCAAGTTTATGTGTTGTGATGTTTTTTTTTGGCGGGGGTGGGGCAGGCGTCGGGCAGGCCAGCCAAGGCAAGGCCAGCCAGGCAGACCTCACCGCGGCGTCTCAACACAAAGCTGTCGGGGCCGATCTGGTCGATGTACCAAGATACTTTCGCCCACGGGTCCGTGCACTCGCGCAGCGGTCCACAAAAACAAGCCTTGGCCCTGGTGGCGGTCGCCGAACAGACCTCCGCAGTCCGTGAACAACTCCATTGGGTCGACGCCCTTCTACCCCAAAGTCATCAGCGACCTGTTGGGCTCCGCGTGCCCGATCTCCTTGAATCACCCATGCGCCCCTCAGCACGCGCCCACCAAGCAATTCACCCTTGGGCGTGATCGTGATCCCGGACCACCCCGTTCTCGAGAGAACGCGGAAGTCCTGAACAGACCCGTCGATGCACTCGATGCCTTCCGAACTGTCGGTCTGTGCTGTCTGCGCGCAGGACATTGCCCGCCAAGCTGGGCTTCGGCGCCTGATCGAACCCGAATTCGACCAAGCTTTTGGCCATCCTAAAATCTCGGGTAGCTTCCCCGCTGGCCCGCGCAACCGCCTCGAGCCGCGAGTCCCGAGCCCAAGTCGCCGAGCCCTCGCGCTTGAACAGCTAGTGGCGCGTCGAAGCCCGGCCTCCTCCGCGCCACATGCGCTGGGGACCAATCCCAGCACGGCTCGGATGCCGTTTTGTCTAGCAGTGTCCGCTTCACCAGTCCGACATCGATGCTGTTGGCCTCCGGCAGAACGATCGCCCCCGCGAGCTTGGAGCCCTCGTCGCCATCCTCCGCATCGGCGAAGCACGCGCTCCTGAGCCACCCACCTCCGTGGGCCCTCTCACAGTGGATGCCGTCCCTGGCTCTGTGGATGGTCTCCGTTCGGGGGCTCGGCGCTGGACGAGGCCCTAGCACCCGCCTGAGCCGCCGCGCCTGCCCTCGGAGGTGGCGCGCCAGGCGCTGGGCCCGCCGAGCTCTCGGCCGCCCGCAGACGAACGAGGGTCGGCGCGCCTTCCCCGCGCGCCGAGCGCGCGAGACCGCTCGCCCAGCTGCTGCGCTCGCCACGCGAACATCCCCGCATCGGAGCCCCCGGCCCAGGCGACGCAGCCGTCGCTGGTGCGCGCCGCGGCTGCCTCGCCCCCCCTTGCCCGCGCCGCGGCGAAACTCTCTGGCGGGACCATTCCGGCCCTCCTGGCCACAGCAGGCGGGCCGCCCGGGAGTGCGCCTGCAAGGACTCCCACTCGGCCGCGGCATTGGGGGCCAGAGGGGCTCTCGTCCTGCTCCTCCTCCTGCTCCTCGTGCTCCTCGTCCTCGTCCTCCTCCTCCTCCTCGTCCTCCTCCTCCTTTTCGTCGATGTCTCCCTCGTCGTCGTCGTCCTCCTCCTCCTCCACGATTTTTTCTCCTCTGCCACACGCAGTCTCCCTCCCCCGATCCCCATGAGCCCTGCGGGGTACCCCTCGGCCGTCGCCGCCCAGGGGGTCGGCGCCTGCCCTGCATTCGCACGAGCCGGCCGCGCGCCTGCGAAGACGGCCGAGCCGAATCTCCTGCTGCCCCCCCCCTTCCTTCGGGGAGACGTAAGACCCGGGTACGGAGGACTCGGAAATCCCCGACAAGGTCGTCAAAAAAATGACGAGGCCGAGCCTGCATTTTGACGAGGCCTCCCGCTGCAGACATCCCGCGAAACTCCTCCTCGTCAAAATCCGAGGCGCGGTCGTCAAAAAACGATGGCGAACCCGAGTCCTGGCAAACCCGGGTCTTACGCTCCCCTTCCTGCCTAGAGACCTCCTAAGACGGGGTTGTCGTAGATGCGGTCGGAAGATCGCGCCGCATC